TGAATATGGACTAGATCTCAAAATCACCTGAAATGGAGAAGTACGGGGAAGATATTTTTTTCTGATACGTAGTTCCCAAGATCAAATGTTCAGGTTAAATTCAAGTAATCCGTGCAGCAGACAAAGGTTACTTAATATCAGTATGACTGACAGAAGCTATGCTGTACGATGACACTTCTATGATAGAGTGGCTTTATGTTTTGATGTACGGTCTCTAGCTGCAGACCAGTTACAGTCTTCTCACTGGGCTGCAGGTTAGGATCCTGTAGTGGAAATGGCATATAAAGATATATCCAAGGATAAGTCCAGGATGAGAACATGGGTGGTGGGATGCAAGTTCTCTCCCATCTGCAACTTTTTCTTAAAAGGGTTCTAAGACCTATTCGAAGAACAGGGTGGCAAGGGGGTAAAGGGCTATCTTGCATGCGGCTTACTGCCAGTCTGTGTTTCCATGCCTGTTTCCTCAGCTGATAAGTGGCACATGCTAAGCGCGAGAAGTAAATGAGAGTTTAAAATGCAATTATGTTTAATGTGAGGGCTTTGAAGATTTCCATACAGGACTGAGACCAAGCATGGGATTCAGATTACAAGTAACACAGCATTTGATTATACTGTAGCGACACCAAGGCAAACAGTTTAATGTGACATCGGCAAGGAAAGCTAAGCTGGAAGATTTTGTCTAAATACATGAACTTAATTCTTTTTCCTCTAGTTCTTAAATGCAAATGTACTCCAATCTTCCTGTGCCTTAAAGCAATCAGACTGGGAAAGGACTTAGGGTTGGTGGCAGAAACCATCCAAAGAGGTGGCTACAGAGCAATATGATAATGCAGCAAACATGATCCTTGAGGATGCAAGCAGAGAAACACTTAAAAAGCAGGAAGTCAGCAACTTTTGTGGAGATAGCACTAGAGAGACCAGTACTGGGATACACGGATCCCAGTATATGACACTGGCATACAGGCTGTCACTGAGAAGTGAGGTGGTGTAGGAGGGACATCTTGCTGGTCTGCCTTGCCCTGGGTAAGGGCAATTAACTGCAGTCTCTGGAGAGAAGAGCCCCTGCTGGAAGCCCCTACATGGGTGGCTCATCTGTAGCTGTGGGGGGGCCTCGGTAACACCCGTGCACCAAGCTCGCACTCGCTCCTGGCTGCCCTCTAACTACATTTAACCCCGCCGCCTCCTAACAGTTCACGTCGCTCCCGGGTGATCGCAGGGCAGCCGCGCGATGGTAGTTCAGGAGCAAAGGCCGGGGGATGGCCGGCCCCGCCGCCTACCTTCCCCCCCCCCCCCCGCATACCTTCCCCGCCCCGCCACCGCGGCAGCGCCGGTCCGCCCTCGACCGCCCGCACTTACCCGTGAGACGAAGCTGGACTCTAACCCCACTCCACGGACCCTCACTCTTGTCCAGAAATACCCGGGAAGCCGTGGACCAGCTGCTGACCGCGGGGCCAATCAGAGCCTAGCCCCCTGCAGCCTCTGCCAATGGGAGTGCGAGAATGCCGGGACGCACCGCCCACAGCCCTTTCCCTTCCGCTTTGGGGTGGGATCGGGGTGATTCCGCCGCTGAGCCGTGCCGAGGGGCTCCGCCGGCCCGACTGGAGAGCTGGGCGGGGTGGACAGGCAGCGGCTGCACCCGTTAGGAAAAAGCTGTCCATCAGGTGCTGACAATAACAGGGAAAGCGCCGACCCCAGGGACGCCTCTGTTTCTGGCGCTCCCGAGCAGTGCTGGAAGCGTGTGAGCGAATGTGCAGCCGCCGAGTGGCTACGGGACGTTTAAGCAGCAGGATCTGTGAGCAGGTGTAACGGTGAAAGGAAAACACGGCCCGCTGCCTGGGAGGGTAGCGATGCTGCTACGGTGTCCCTGCAGGAAGGAGGTGACCCTGTCGGGAGTGAAGACTCTTAGTAGATGGCTCCCGTTCCCCCAGGAGGAAAGACAGTGAAGCGTAACGCTCAAAGGGCGATCCCTAGACAGCACTAAGGACGGCGAGCTGGCCAGCGGTGGCTGGTCGCAGGGAGCCGCCGGTTAGTTACACCGGGCTTTTCTCCTGAGGTGCAGTTATTGCACCGCCGCAAAGCTCCTAGCGCCCTTCCTCGCCTCCTCCTCGCCGCCGAGTAAGAGCTCGGAGCACAGCCGCCTCAGGACACCCCCAGCCGAGCCTGCCTGGCCTACTGCGCAGGCGCGGGGGAGGAGGGGAGGGCGAGCCGGGAACGGCCGCGGCACGTGACTTCTGGGAAGGCAGCGGAGTATCCGAAAGGGGTGGCTGAGGGGAAGTCGAAACAGAAACCAGAGGCGGCCGGGCCTCCCCCTTTCCAGCCCCGGCCACCCCCCGCCACCCTTTCCCTCTGTAGCGATGAGAAAATGACCCTTTGCAAGTGCTGCTGCTGGGATACTCGCTGGCGGAGCGGTGGGCTAGCGCTGGAAAGCAGGAGCTGGGGCAGAGGCCTGTAAGGGCAGCCATAGTCTCAACTGCACAGAAAGAAGGCATGCCAGTGCAATAAGGGCTGTACAAACACAGTTGAAACCGCTATGAACTGTAACCCAGATTTTCATCCAAGTTACAGAAACTAAGAATGCCTATAAACTGCAGGTGGCTGAGTGTCTAACAGTTCCCAGCGTTTGTCAGTTGAGAGTTTCCTTCCCAGGGAATAATTTGACAAAGTAGTTTTGGTTTCCTTCATGTAATCTTTCTTGCAACTGTGTTATTTGCTAGGACGCTTGGTGCTACTTTGCCGTGGCAAGTTTTGTCTTGTGTATGTGTCAACAAAGGCCAGAAGGAATTAAGTTCAGGATTTGATGCAAGTCTGCAAGATACTTGGATCCTTTTTGGTATCTTTTGTATGGTATGAAATGCTACCAAGTAGTGGGTATAAATGTGGCTATAAATGAAAGCTGTAGCAGAAGGTAAATAGCTGTTTTCACTTTTTTTTTTTTTTGATTGTAATCATTACGGTGATGTGGCAAGACAAAACGTACAGAACAATCACGTTTGGTTTTTTTTTTTTATTTTCCTGTTATTTTTGACTCTGCTGTTGCAAAATACAGTGAAAGCACAACCACAGTAAAAGTACCTAAAAGCAGATGTTTCATTTCTTCTGGCAGTGTCTTGAGGCATCCCTTTCAGTACAATTTTTTCTCTCCTCCCTCTCTCTCCCCCCATCATTTTACTAGAGAGCCCTGTTCTTACTCAAAGTGGCATAAGGACAAAATTCTCACTTTTTTTAATGGAAGGAGGCTTGGACTGTATATATTTATCTTACAGAAAATTACCCCAGTTTTCCTTTAAAGGAGTGAACTGATTTACTGATTTAAAGTCACATGGCTTTCAATTAAATGTTAAACCTACCGCTTGTGAAATCTGATTTTAAACAATAGTAGGAGCTGTAATGCCAAAACCTTATCCACAATGCTATTCAGTAACACAAAGTATATTGTGTTGAAGTCAAGACTCGAGAGTCTTGAAGAGTTGCATTGCACAGGGGGCAAGGAAGAAGGAGAGGGAAGATTGTTTCATGAAACAGTACTCACAGTACTCACCATGAAGTTTACATGGTCAAAAGGACAGGTTACCCACCATTTCGTTTGTATTGAGGTTAGAAAGAAAAGGCATTCAATTAGCCGGTGTGAGGTAAAGTTATGTTTGCTGCTTTAGAAGTCTGTTACTACTTGTAGTTCAGACTTGAGATCATCACAAGGAAGGCTTGACTCTTTTTGTTCTATCTGGAAAAAATGCCACAGAAGCCCAGATATCCAACTTTAAGCTAAAATCCATTTTTATTTATGCTGGTCATATAAATTACAGATGTTACCAAACTATATACACAATGGTTGTTTTGGAAAATTATTTATACATGATGCTTTCTGAGGGGAAAATGACTTCTTATCTGCAGCTTGCTTTAATTCGCTCTGATGAACAGAGACATGTTTGTTCATGTTCCTATGTAGCATAGAAATATCTCATGACTCTGTTTCCATTCACTTGCTTTCAACTAACGTTAATAGTATGCATGAGAGGAGTGAGTAAAAAAGGCAAAATGAAAGCAAAATTCAGGACTTACTGATTCAAGGAGGTTGTTTTCATCCCAGATGTCTAATTTGAACCTAATTTGCAGAAGATCGCAAGGTGCAAATGTGCCAGCATTTGCATGCATTAACCACATATTCTGCAGACAAGATTTAAATCTTGAATGAAACTGTATATGTGAAATACAGGAGCCTTGGAATTGCATGTTTATTATTAACAGGGGTTTTGGGGATAATATTGATAGGAAAGTGAAAAAAACCCAAACCAACAACAAAACAGCCCAAACCCAGCACTACACAGTGCCTGAAATAATAAAAAAAAAGAGAATATTTTAAAAAGGCACTTTACCATTTATACAAAAACTAGTTATTCTGCTTGTTAAATGAGTCTGACAGGCATGTAATACTTTGTCATGTAGCACAAGTTGCCCAGTGATCAGCAAATGCTGTAGCTTTTCAGTAACTATTTCTTTAAAACTGCTTCCCAGTCCACATTTACCAGATAGCATCCAGACTCTGCCAGATCAGTTTTTTTCCACATTAAACTCTGATAGTTCTTGCTGTAGTATCTGAGTGCTTTATGCACAAATAGATTTACTTCTGCACTTCAGCAGCAAAATGGAGACAGCCTTTTGTCACCACAGATTTTGTGGCTGTTTCCTTTCTGGAACACCCTTGTCTTGCGGACCTTTTTTCTTCCACAACTTGTTCTGTGGTGGCACATAAAAATCTATGCTGAAGCTAGTTCATCTTTGGAAAAAGCAAATCCCGGACACCTACGGGACATCTCAACTCAGGGGGATGAGAATCTTCACTTTAAAATAGTCGCTAAACCAATAGTGTGCAAGATGATGATTAAACAGAAACTACTTAGAACAATAAATCATCATTTCCTCACATGCATTAATGTCTTTAGTTATCCTTATGTGCTATTTTCAGAAGCAAACATTCTTTTCTTGTACTTTTATTTACAGCAATTCTATGGACGATAAATTTTACTTGCAGAATTATTCTGCTGGACCCTGCTGAAGTCAAATGACCTGCAAGCCAGAAAGGATTTGGCCTTTTATCAGTGAGGAGAGGAATTCTGACTTGCAGGAGGCTATTCGTAATCCCTAGGGAGAAGATTCCCGGCTTACATGATGTTGGTAACAGGGTCCCAAGAATAACATTCTAATGGTTTCTGGGAAATGCTGATTTACATGATGGAGGGGGAAAACTATAAAAATTACTGCATCTTTAACCCACACATGATTACTGATTTTTCTGGTTTGTGAACTTCAGTCAGTTGAGTAAGGAGAACCCAGCTGCAAGAAAAGAAGGGAAAGATTAGTCTTGTGGCAGTTACTGCTGTTCATTCAAAAGTAACTGCACATTAAACCTTCTTTGGCTCCATGTAATTGCAGTGTCATTTTGACAACATAATACAAACTGAGGATCCCATTTCTGGTTCTTCACAAAATATTGGAATGCTCATTAGAAAACACTGTGTGGTAGTTGCAATAAAAGAGACATTTTTATTTGAACTTCTGTGATTCTTGCATTAGTGCAGGGGTTTTAGTGGAGTCTTGTTTTCCTGATGTGTAGGGAAACCTGGGAGGGGGGAACTAGAAGGGAATTCAGCAAGACTACAGAAAGTGTGTCTTTCTAAGACTGAGTTACTGAGTTACAGGATAATTTGTTCTACTGCAGATTGCACCCTTGTTCTCCGCATCTCACACAGTGCTTTTTCACTGGCATCTTAGTGAGAGAACATATTTCTTTAATAATGCATATCTTCTGCTTGCTCTACTTGGGCACATCTTCACTAGGGTAGTTTGTTGTGTGAATTTGGGATGATAAAGAAAAAAACCTCCTTATTTTCCTCTTTTCCATTTATCAAGTTGAATAGAGTGTTAAAACTAAGGAGGGACTACTTAAAATCCTCTAAAACTATTTTCTCAACTAATTCTAGAAAATATTTCTAGTTAAGAGCCTCTAGAAAATCATCTACCATTTAGCAGCACTGAACTACTTCACTAGTACCCTTAAAAACTGCAATGTGATTGTATTTGACCCTCCCAGTTCATTACCAAACACATGGGGGTTTTTGTACAGTTATGACTCAAAACGGTGGCAATGGTCACAGCTTGTTTATAGGCTCTGGAAAGAGCTGGTTTGAGAATTACTGTTGAATGCTAAAAGAAACCAAAAACATTTGGAGCCTGATGATAAACAGAAGTGAAGCCAACTGTTATTTGCACTCCCTAAACTTTGAGAAAGGCAAAGGCATACTAGTTCACGAATGCAGTTTAGGTCAGAACTGTTTTCATATGGCATAAACCAAACAACAAGCGAGTAGGGTCATGTCTCAAATAGGGTGTGTACATTTTAATACAGACTTTCCATTCAGGGTAGTATTTCAGTTTTAGGTGAAGAACTAGTTTGCTATTGGAGAAAAGGGTGAAGAAGCAAGAAAAAGATACTTTGCTCTTGAACAGATCTTCAGCTTGGTGTATATTAAAGAACTCCTCTATTTGTATATAAAGTTTAGCTCTGCTTCAAATCATCAGCAGTCAGGATTCTTGTTTAGTTTTGGTCTGTGGGTGAGGAGGAGTGTTTACAGAGAGGCATTTGAAGGGGAGTTGACAGGCATTTAAATGCATAACTATTTTAAGACCATAAGTCATTGAACATAGAGAAAACCAAGACCTAGTATTAAAAAAGAGGTAGTCTTTTTAAAGATCTCAAAGCCAAACCACTACTTTGTTTCCTGATAGAAGTCTGCCGGGCAAATCTCCAGTGGCTACACATCAGTGCTTGAAGTATTCTATACCGCAATGATTCAGAACACAATTTCTAGTCAGTAAGTAGAAGAGGGAAATATTTCACATAGGATGTTGGTACAGTATTTTCCCAATCCTTCTATATACTTAGTGAATATTAGTTTTATCTGCTAAGAAGATTTTAGTTGACTTCTAATTTCTGACTTTGGTACCTCAAGTAGAAACTTGAAGCACAGAAAAGTGCAAGTTTGCTGAATCACAAGTTTTTATATTCTTTGTGCAGCTTCCCTATGCAACACAAGTCCTTTGTGCTAGCTACAGAATTAGTGTAATCATTATGTATTTGTCAGTGTAAAGGTTTCATTTGTGCAAGAACTCCAGGATCTTTGAATTTTGACATTCATGATTCACTGGCCAGTGTGTCAGACAATTTCATATAATACAGTGATTCCAAATATGCTTGTACATCCTGTCCCGTTTAGAATAGGAAATGTCTGCATTGCATGATGAAAGAGCACTGATTTTTCTAATAATTGTACAAGCAGCCTTTTGTATAAACAGCATCTGTGTTGTACATGTTCAACTTGCTTATGTATGTACAGTATTAACTTATGAATGGAAAAGTTTACAACATACAGCAGTTTCGATCACAGTGGGACTCAGATGTTCTCTCAGCACAGCATAAACACTTGGAGACATTGGAAGAAGATCTGATGGAGAATGTGGATCTGTAGAATCATTTAAGCTTAAAAAAAAAAGGAAAAAGAACAAACCACAAAAATAATCTTAAAAGCAACCTAAATCCCTCTATCTTGATGCATACCAGTGGAGTAGGGTGAATGTTTAAGTTAAGCTTATACTTGGGCTTGCTGGTTGGCCTGTAAGCACATGCTAACAAGCTGGTATACACTTAAAAATGTAGGAGATAGGACCAAGGGAAGAGAGGATAAACCTGACTGTAATATCAGTTGCTGGAGAGAAAAAGGAGGCAATGAAAGATTAGTAGATCAGAGTACTGTAAAGCCTTCATTCAATTTTTACAAATGTTTTGCCACATGGATGGGAAAAGCTCCATAAAAGTGAAGCTCTTTACCTCCATTTCTTGTGTTTAGCAGTCTTTGGCCAAACAACAACAGGCAATGTATTGCTTTCCTGAACTATTAGAATGGGAGAAGGGAGGCAGGGATAACTTTGAAGCAGTATGTAAATTTAATAAAGATAACATTTGAAATGTAATACATCCATAAGAATACTTACATTTTAGAGACTGGGATAAATACAGAAGGAACGTAACCTTTGCCGCCTCCATCTGAGGGCTTTGAGACTAAAAATAAATGTTAGAAATTAAATATTGCCTAGTAGTTTTATTGTTTATTTGAAATTAGATATCTGCTCTAAGTGCTGCAGACCATACTATATTAACACAGAAATGTTGCTGTTCATGTCTGAATAAACAGCCATAAAAATGAGGGGAATTCCTGAGACTGGTCTTTGGGCTCAGGTCTTAGTCACATAATTGACTGTGCTCCCTTTATATGAATTGCCCTATCAGAAACATTAGACCTGGTGGAAGAGATCTTGGTGGGGTTTCAAAAGCAAATATACCATAATTTTACAGGCTTGGTGATTTTGAGCTTCTAGATTTCAGTTCTGCAAATGCTTGTGCTCTCTCTCTACACACATAGCTTCAGCGATGTGTTTTGCATGAAATTAAGCACACACATGGAGCATTAGGCAAAGTCAACTGCATTAAAATGAAGAGGAAAACCACTTGTAGCCTCCAAATATTTTTGAGTAGAGTAGGAATTGGAACTCAGATGGAATTGTAACCTTTAATATCGGAAGTCTAAAAAAATCAAGGCTTTGAGGGCTTTTGAGCAAGAGCAAGTTTAGTCTAAAAATGGCCTGACCTGTAACTTAGGCAAGAGCAAGTGTGGGCCTGGACGTATTTGAAGCCATTTTTTTCTAGCCTTTTTGTATTTTCCAGTTCAGTTGCCAGGGTTTTTTAAGAGCACTGTCTGCCATAATAACTTTGTAATTGCAAAGTAGGTCAGCAAAAGGCAGTGTAGGTAAGTGACCTTTTGCTATAGGGTTCCACCTAATGAAATGAAATAAAACGGGTCTTCCAAGCTGTTTGGAAAATACAGAACTCTCTTGAAATTGAAGAGACTGCATGCTACTGTAACATAATTACAAAGCCAATCAGCAAGATGACTTTTCAGTTTCATCTCCTTTGAACACTCGAGCACTGAATTTTGTAATGCATTGGTCAGGAAAAGAAGTAATCCTGATTTTTTGACTGTTTGTACCCTAAGATCTATTTCTTAGCTTCTTTGAAATGTTGTTGTCTCCTCTAATATAACCTCTAAGACCAAGAATGTATTTACAAAATGAAGCTGTCTAAATGATAGACACATGTTAAAACACTTATCTTGATGCCAATTAAAGGAGGCATCTTAATCTGTTCTCTTTCTCCCCTCCCCACATGCCTCAAATTGCCTCTTGATTTTGCAGCTGCTTTGCAGAAAGGTCAAATAGAGAAATGGAGCCTAACCTTCATTTGGCTGACAGCTGTAGTGTTTGCCAAACGCCTTATCTTTGGGAATGTCTGGATACAGATACTTCAGAGGATTTTCAGGAACATTGTCTGCCATAATAACTTTGTAATCACGCAGTATGTCAGCAAAAGGCAGTGCAGATAAGCGACCTTTGTTATAGGGTTCCACTGAATGAAATGTAACGTCTCCTGTAAAAATACAAAGGCATCATGACCACTGATAACTGGTAGATCAGTATCTACTGTTGAAATGGTTTTTTGCCTTTCTCTTGCAACTTACACTGGTGTGGATTTTACCTGTTCAGATCAGCTTTCAAGATATACCTTCTGCGCGTGTGTACGCAAATTTAAAACCTGCAGTAAGGAAGTTCATTTCCTAAGGAACTTAAGATAGCTAAAAAATGAGAGGTAGATTTTCAGAGTTTTGGTTTATGTTTCAGTAAATACAATACTTGTATCTTGCCCGAAACCATACTAAGACATGATACTCGTGAATTTTAGTTTCAAACTGAAGAAACCATGGCTTCTGTATTACAGGTGTATTGCAAAGTCTGAGGTTTATGTTATTTTTTAAAAAATTATACTTACCATTTTCTAACTGATCCACCCAAGTAAAGGTAATTCCACCTAGATTGCTTTCACTAAATCTTAACAAAAATGTTCCTGGTGTCTTGTCTTTGAGCAAAATTCGCTCCTTTTCTTTGCTTACAAATCCCATTATGTACCTGAAGTGTAACAAAAAAAAAATCATGGGTTTACTATTGGAAAAAAAGTACAGATTTCAGTCTGTTCAGTGCAACTGGCCAAACTTTATATAGATGTTCAAAGGCTGGTTACAAAAGCTTTACAAGGTCTTGAAACTATGACAAAAGCTTCATGTGATTTATAGGTGGAGCTCAATGGCATTGAGTGCAGAGTGCTATGAAGCATAATGAAATTTATCTCAGTACTTGGCTGTACGCTGGCAGAACAGATAAATAGATAACCTGCTGTTTCTAAGAGATTCAGTGGTGTTCCCTGTTGGCAAAATATTCCAAAAGTTATAAATGGGAAGAGGGAGAAGTTTTAAACTCTTTGTAAATTCTCTTCTGCATAGGTAAAACTGAGATTAGTAAAGAGAAAAAAAGACAAAGCAGGCAGAGATCAATACAGAGCAGTTTCCTTGTTGCTCACCCATCAATCCAAAGAGGAAGAATGTGCTTTTTAATTAAGTCCAGGATAGCTTCAAGCCAAACCCAAAAGGTAAAAGACTTTCCAGGCAAATGTTCCTAATCGTTAAAAAAAACAACCATGAGAGAAGTGAGAGGTGTTAGCCAACATCCATATGACATGGCTGTCTTGGTATTTTAAGAATAATCTAGTTTGTTCAAGCCAGAATTACAAATTTGAACTGCTGTTTTGAGTAATGTCTCTCTTTCAGCCTGACATAAAACCAATTGATTTTTAAGATATGCATTGGAAGCACCTCATTTTTCAAGGAAAAAAAAAACAAGAATCATTGTTTCTTCCTGGTTATGAAATTCCATTTTGACAGAAATGATGACAAGAAAGTTGAGCTTTCTTCCAAGGTTCCATACTTATTTAAATAATGTAGTTAATGAGAATAAAATGATTTTACCCTTCTTTCTCAACAATTTATCTGTTCTTCATCAAAGTTGCTGAATATATCATCTAACTTGAAATAATTTAGGTCACAGCTGACCATATGAAAAAAATTACTGTGTGCTTTATGAAAAATATATTGTGTGGCTGTATATATGAAAAATATATTATGAAAATATACTGTATGGTTTGCCAGCACGATCTATTGGCCATTTTCAGAAGTATATAGGGCATGCTATAATGACAGTTTCCAATATCTGTAGCAATGTAACTCTATATTGTAAGTATATCTCTTAGCCCAAACTTTAAACTTCTGGAAATACTATTTTCCTAGTTAAACTTTTACAAGGAATGTGATTGTGCTGGGCTGTAAGTCCCACACATCACAAGTGGGAGTCTTATCAGTAGCATCTGAGAGACAGGCACACACATGAGCAGCAAGAGAAAGAAGAATTCAGTTTTACTTTTGGAGCCCCACCTTGCAGAACTTTGCCCAGGATAGTTGATAATCATTGTAACTAACTTGTTGTCCTGCGAGGGAAAAAACAAATGGTGAGCCTGTGTTTCTGAAGTCTTGAAATAGATAAACCTTGATATAGTTGGTGCAGGGGGAGAAGTACAGTACTTCCAAGACCTGGAGATGGATTGAGAGGGGTGTGCTAAGGGGATGTAGATCAGATTTTCTGTATTCTTTTGAAGCAGCTGCTAATAGTAGTTTTGGGAATATTTGCCTGAAGTAGTGTGGGACTTTGTTTCTGCAACGCTATGCTCAGTTTTAGTTTTTAGCCCAAGTGTTACTTCTCTTGGCATTTGCTCTACCTTGAACCTCCACATTTTAAGACAGTTTATTTTTTTTTTTATGATTTCTGTGGATTTACAATGACACCTCTCAACTCTGCTACCTCCACTAAGCAAGGAACCTCCAAGAAACCAGCAGGGGAAGCGACTGTTACGCAGGGAAACCAGTATTTGCTTCCAGCTTTGAAACAATAAAAGTAAAGATTCCCCCTGGTCTTTGACAAATGCTTCTGTTCTTGCCTAAGATTAGATGTTTTATTACACCCTCAGCATGGAGTTTCTTACAGTTCACCACATGTTTTATAACTGTTTCTTCTTCAGAAACAGATAAAGCTTTCTTTCCTTCTGCCAGCTTTCTTCTAAGGACTCTCTTCTGCGGGACAGTCAGCTCAAAGTGTTCAATAGTCCATCTCTCTGAAGCTACAGGGCCCCCTTGCTATGCTGTCACTGGTGAAGGATGGGTCCCAGAACTAAACAGACCCACACAGACAGGTACTAAAACTGGAACAAAACCTAAACCAAACCACATAAGCAAGCAAAAAGACTTCCTTTTGATTTCAGATGCATGAGATAATTACTTGCTAAGGTAACAAAATAACATCACAGTTCAGTGTGACGCTGATGCCCTCTTCAGTTTGGCAGTCTGGAAGTTCAGAAGTTGAATCATTTTGCGGAGACAATAAGCTGACATGTGCTTTTCTTTAAAGAAAAGAATGTCCCTGTGGCATTTTTGATGTGAGCTCTGGAAGTGAAGGTCATGCTGTCTGGGCTGGCTGGGATTGTTTTCTTCACAGTAGTTACAATGGGGCTGCTTTGGGTTTGTGCTGGAAACTGTGTTGATAACACTGGGATGTTTTAGTTATTGCTGAGCAGAGCTTACACAGAGCCAAGGCCTTTTCTGCTTCTCACCCTTCCCCAACAGTGAGTAGGATAGGGGGCACAAGGAGCTGGGAGGGGACACAGCTGGGACAGCTGACCCCAACTGACCAAAGGGATGATCCATTCCTTATGCTGTCATGCTCAGCATATAGAGCTGGAGGAGGAAGAAGGGAAGGGGGGGATGTTTGCAGTGATGGTGTTTGTCTTCCCAAAGAATCATTACACATGATGGAGCCCTGTTTGCCTGGGGATGGCTGAACACCTGCCTGACCATGGGAAGTGGTGAGCTTAGCTGCTGCCTGGTGTTAAGCCATGACATATGCTTGAACTCATTACCTGCAACTATCAAATATAAGAGCTCAGGAGCAAATAAAACCTGTATGTTTCTACACTCTTACCCGTAAGTTTCTCTGCCAGCATGTTGAGCTGCTCAGAATTGAGTCCACGACCGACATACGAGGAAAATTGCCAGCTCAGTACTTCTAAGAGCTGACTTAAAGTGGCAGCAGGAGGATTATTGAAGAAAGACAAATTCTGCAACAGAATTAATGCTTTGTTTAGACAGTTAGCAACCATGAAATACAGTGCAGGCTGTGAAAGAGGCTGCAAGAACTTGAGCAGAATCTGGAAGTGTTAAAAATGAGGTGTGCAGAGGGGGATATATTGGGGCAAATTGGCCAAAAGGCTGACCCTTCCCCCTGCAGGCACCCAGCAAGGTCCACTTGGGTGCCTGAGCAGAGTTGTAGGGGGAAACCCCTAGAGAGAGACAGAGTCTGCGTGTGCATCTTGGATGATAAAATTTCTTGCTATGCTTCTGATAGCATTGTATATTAAGACAGTGAAAATATGTTTAAGTCTTGTCCAATTAATGCAGATAGTCTCATACTTTAATATGTTTGGTGCATGGAAATCTTAAACCATCATGTACTCATAGTGATATGTTGTTGAATCATTTGGCTCATCTTAGTTTTTCATTTGGTTTCTGGTACATACCATAAACATACTAAAGACCATGCAAAAGCTCTTTGGGAGCCTCACAGAGTGATAACATAGTCCAGGCTGGTGGTCGGCTGGCCTGCCATCATTCTTAGGCACACTCTGTGGTCAACTCTCACCCTTTCTCTCCTCCAAACACTCTGTGATTGCCACTAATCCCCAACTGAAAGCATGAGAGCTACTGACAGTATTATTCTACAGTCTGCAAACACTGTAGACTGAATTTAGAGCCTGAGACTCTGCTTTTGTTCACAGTTAGAGCCCATAGAAGGTGCTACTTGACATTTATCTTCTCCACAGAAAGCTCCAATAAAAGGTATGCAGGAAAGCAGTACTTGAGTACATTGCAGACCCACCTATGCACCTACTTTGATAGTTTTGAATTGTACTTGTACTAATAGAATTATTTTGTACCATCTACACCTTTGGTCAATCACATCCAAAAAAGACAAATTGAAACTAGAAAAGTTGTGGAGAAAGGCTATTGACTGTCTTTAGTTTAAGAATGCTATTCTAGCCTACAAAAAGGAAGGCTAAGCATGCATATGGTTTTGTATCTGGACAGGGAGCAAAGGATAAAGCAAACATAAACCTATGATCTTGATAACAGTGTATGTGAAGAAAACAGGTCCAGTTTGAGGGAAACACAGCCTTTTTATAATGAGTATATTTGGTAACTGACTAATAGGAATGTGAAAATGCAGCAAGTCAGTACTTGCACACTGAAAACCTACCTGAGGATCGTTGGTTGACAGATTGTACCAAATAATAGAAGCCCACGCATTGGGTAGCTGGCTGACATTGGAAATCATCACCACAGGCAAGGAGCTGGTCTGGTGGAAAGAATGAGTGCAGTATGTAAATGCTGCCAAGGAAAGTGTTACTGCTGTGTTATACTTTGTTTTTTTAGCCTCCTCTTTCTTGCTTAAGCATACAGTTCTGTCCAGAAGTTCTGGAATATTATGTCTGCGTCTGCTCACTGCTGAAGATAACATCTAGGATAGAGACCTGTGGTCTGGCCCAACACTATTGTTCTTCCATAAGCTGCTGGAAAACGCCTTTTATTCTTGCCTCAAAAAATCTGGCTTGAATACTCACTTCCAAGTTTATAGTCAATCCATACAGGCAGACCTGCGTTTCAAAGCTGATGGAATGCAGCTCCTCGGTCACCATGTGAGGGCCCTGTGGGAGTAAATAGGTTATAAAACTGTGAATGCACAGATGGTATTTAACACTGTTCTAGGGATCTGACTGCTGACATGACACAACTTCGCAAGAAAACACATATCCAAGATATAAGTAGAACAGGAAAAGAAGGCAGTGAAGGAAATCATTTGTTTGTTAAACACTGATGTTAAATTAGTCCAGAAGTCTGGTGTGTTTTTTCCTGATGAATCTAAAAAAAACCCTTGACATTGTTAAAGCAACACTTTTAAGCTTCAAATTTTTGCCTTTAATTTTTTAATAAAAGGGTACTTTTAAACACAGATTTTCACACAAAATGTTAACGGATTATTTTTTGCGTCTGATAAAGAGTATCTCCAATTTTTCCTAAAGTTTCTTTACTGAATAACAATTCTGATTTAAAAAGAGATGTTAAACTTCAGGAGAAACAACCTAGAAATGAAAGAATAAGCCACAACTTTAATGACAGGCAGACAAATAGGCTGCCTCTAGGAACACAGGCCTGTCATAAGTATACTTTGATGGTACTAGCTGAAGGAGTAGAGCCCTAAATCACTAACCTAATGTAAATCTGGTATTAAAACGCCAAGCTTTTCCGGGTAGGGAGTCTGTCTGTCATAGTTGATTAAAGTTTGTAATACAAGCATTTTATTTTGATTACAAACCAGCATAGCTCTGTAAAGATCCAAATCTCTGCCCCTTGGGAAACAGGTCTTTTGAAATATATTTCCATCCCCATAAGTAAAATCCATTTTTCCTTTTCCTATGTTGTTGTTTTTCCCCTTCCCATCACATAATTGTTTTATCAGACTTGTAAAAAGGATCAAAAATCCCAAATCAAGATGCTCCCAATTATTGTGCTACTCTGGTTTCAATCAATGTAAAATAAAACTATTCCTTGGGAAAGTGCTTTGTGGCCTTATCTTTCCCATGGAACACCTCCTCCAAGACACATGCAGGCCACTGCAACCAAAGATACTGTATAAATAAGGGATTGAGACCACAGGAGATCCTCAGGTATCTGAATAATAAATCTGCCTTGCAAAGGGAAAATCCAGTTTAGAGCTGAGGGCTTTTACATGAGATAATTAACCATCAAGTGAACTCAAATGTTTTAATACAGGTGGAATCATCCAATGCTTATGTTAGCAATGACTTCCCAGACTGATTTTGACCAAGGAGAAGCTCTGGTTGAGGAAATCAGCAGTGTCACAGCTCAGCTGTCCTAATTCTCCACAGCTCTGTGTTTTACACAGTTATAAAGGCACAGTATGTGAAAGTGGGAGTAAAATGCTACCAGAAGTAGAACACTAACAGTTTTACACCTACATTTTTGCATTTGCTTGTCTTGATGCAAATGACTTGGTCAAAGCAATTGAGAGGCCAGCTTTGAGTTTCAGTCTTGCTAATCGGGTTGCAAGTTATTCCATTCAGAAACACCACGCGAAGGATGCACAAGTATCTTCTGCTTTAGGTTCTTGCTTAAAATTCTCCATGCTGATCACACCTTTGCTTTGTATTTAAAGACTACTTGTAATAACTTTTTATGTTGGTACAACTACATCTGTGATGAGTGATTTTATTATTAAATATTTTTTTAAACTTGCTAGTACAACTTTCCCCTTGGCACTTCCACTCTGCAAAAAAGTGTACAGAGATACCTTAAACCAGTATAAGCTACTTTCCCTCCTAGGTAAGTAGGTGGCATTCATAGAAGCATTTTATGGCTGCAGTTATCTTGGGAAACACAATTGTGGTAGCACTGGCAGAGGCTGTATCATTGGCTGCAGGCTTCTGACTCTTGCTTTGGTAAGAGATTTATGTGCATATTTTCCCTGTCAAATAGCCATGCTAAATTTACAGTGACGGGCCACCCTAGTTCTTGTGTGTACTTGTGCATTCCCGCTCCCTGCCTGCTGCCTCCAGCATGGCATGGAAGAGGATAATCCTGCCTTCTCCCCTGCTGGGGTGGTTCTCCTTTCCCCTCCTGGCAGAGATGCAGAAGGTGAATGAAGGCATGCAGTAACTGGGATTCTGATTTTGTCTGTGACACCTGAGGCACTTGGGAATCATAGAATAGTTAGGGTTGGAAAGGACCTTAAGATCATCTAGTTCCAGCCCCAGAGCAGAGAAGAAGGAAGGGGAAGGGGTTAGGAGTTGGTCAAGGGAAGAAGTATAGGGGTGCTAAAGGAATGGAAAGAGTGCTATACAATACAGGTGATCACAGGTACACAGTGCTCTGGATGTGCTGATGTCAATACTTCTGGTTTCTGCTCTCCACAAAGCAAGAATTCGTGGATTTTGAACTCCCCAGCTGGCAAGCAAGCATTGCAATACCTTTTCACCTTGTGTGTCGGGTGGTACCTGCGTATCTCTGAAACCTGGATACTACAAAGTATCTGCTGTTTTGTTAGGGCTGACATGTCATAGTGTAAGTGTCACCACAAGAGGGGAACCTACAACCAGAGTCTAATGAGTATTGCTAAACTAAGCACACTTTTGGTCCTGGTTGAGGCACGCAAACTTCTTTGATGCAAATATAATTATACCCTTACTTCAGCTTTAAACTTGGCCAACAGGAAACCATTCCTATAGGAGAAATTGTTTCAACAAAAACCTTGTAAAGCTTCTTTTTCCCAAAATGTAAGTGACCAAAAAGGAAGCCTAAAAGAAGAATGCATGTATTGAAATTATTACTTCTTACCTTCTATTGTAACATTAAAAATATATGATACTATGGCATATAATTAAAATTTCTGAGTAGTTCTGAAAAGTTCTCATTATACTATCATATGACAGTTGGGTCCTATACTTATTATAAGGATAATATGTATTTCAAAATCTAACAACATATGAATAGAATAGAATCACAGAATCAACTAGGCTGGAAAAGACCTATGGTTGATCTTTGATTTAAATAAAATTCTATCTTAAATATTTGTGAGAGTAATCAAGAATAACATGAAAAATAAATGCACAAACCTCATTTCCTTTGCTGCCAGCACTTGATTTCATTTCTTTGGGTTGCTGTATAAAGCAAAACAATGTTTATGTGCCAAAGAAACTATAGACAGAAATACATATAAAGGCCGTATTTTTATTTAATAAATTCTAATTATTTAATTTTTAATATTTAACATATTTAACCATGATGTTCTTCATATGATAAGGTTTTATTTTCATACATACTCTGTGACAAAGTCTCTGACACTATGCCTTGGAAAGTCTATTCAGTGAATAGTCTTTTGGTATTTTTAAAGTATTTTTTAAGAAATTAACGTAACAAAGTGTTAATTAGGGTGCTTACAAAATGTATAATAGAAAAAGCAGTAATGACTGTCACTTTCCATCTCCTGTTGCAAACCTACACTGACTCACTGCATCTGTGGTTAAGCTCTAGAAAATATCATAGGGAAGTGAGTCCAGTCAGAAAGCATGGCTCAATGAGATATTAGAGAAGCTACAGAAGTAGTGCTGTAATCTCTCAAAAGACAGTTATTGCAAGCAGGCATTAGTTTCAACTAGATCTAGAGCATTCAATTATAATTTCCCCTAGATAGTGATGATGTTTGGTTTGGGTTTTTTTTCTTATGAATAAAACCCAGTTTCTGAGAAACTGTAGTTCAGCACAATTAGTCTTCTCCTTTTCTGGTATTAGTTAGGATTTGCTTTGTTATTTCAGTGAAAATATACAGTCTTATTTTACGGAATGGATAAAGCATGGAATGGGATAAAGAGGTTCCAGGGGTAAACTTTCTGTATAAGGAAAAAGAAAATGAGTGTGTATACGTGACAGTAATACAGTTCTCCCAGCATAGCCTTTAAAGAGTCTTTGATTTCTATACCAAAGGTACATGACAGGAAAAGAAGTCAAACTTACCAAATGTCGAAATTCTACAGACAGGCTTCCATTTGCGGATTCATCCATGTTCATTGCTTTCGTGTGTGTTCCACACAGAATGAATCTACGGTTACTATGGGGGACATTACAGTTATGTACTCCAATGATGTCATATTGATTAAGCTAAGAAATATGATGTTTTATATTCTTACCTTACTGTTGAAACATTCCTAAAACAGAAGAGGGGCAGGGAAAGAGGGGAGAACAGATTGTGAATCAATAAATGTATAAGCCATAACTTGTAATGAGAAATATATCTTGAGGTGGTAGATTTTGCCTTGTCAAAGTTAACTTGTAGTACCAGTAAAATCAAGCAACAATTTCTGAACTAAAGAACTGAAATTTGTACCTGGCCAGATGCAAGTAGTATATTTAGCTTTTTCCTCCTACTGGAATGATGTGGATATTCAAAGCTGCAGTACTATTTAATTACCTGCATGCCTGTGTTCTGGAACAATACAAGCCTATGTATTTAGCTCCTGGTGTATGGGGAGAACATGTGCATAGCAGCAAATTGGACAGTATACAGCTTTTGAGAGAAACAGTCCTAGCTTCTCTGCTACTGTTTTCCTTCCTTCTTTTGGGCCAACATCTATGTGCATGTGGTCAAGGTGGGTTTTAGTGGCCCTTTGGATCACCTTTGCTGATTTTGAAATCATACCTTGTCAGCAAGTCTTCTGTCCTGTGTTTAATCATGCTAGGGTGCCGTGACCTATCTGTCACCAAGCTTGCTCCACAGTACGGGGTATTGCTTAAGATAATACACATTGCTGAGAGAAGATGCATCAACTTACAGAGACACCAGGCAGCATTAATACTGTTTTCACATAGTATAGACAGGCCCTGAGATGCTTTTTACTTAGGAAATTATAATCAGAGAAGCTGGGGATCCTGTTCATTTGGGTCTACTGTAAGAAATAATGGGAACATAAAGGAGAATCAAACATTTTAGGAAGGAAGAGTTTACATAGCAGCCTTAATTTCAAGCAGGGATAAAACTAAGCTGCCAATTACTAATAATAGCATTAGCTTTTCAAGCACGAGGTTTGGGTGCTACTTGGAGCAGCTGCATCAAAGCTACTGGGCCTATTAACACAAGTAGAATAAAGTTGTATTTCAAAGCTAACAATGCAATATGGTTTAATTTAAAACTTTGTGTGATGATACTATTTCAGACCAATGAATTTTATCGGTCTTGAAACAAATCTTAAATGACTTCCTGCCTCCAATTTGAAAATACCAATTAGACATAGCAGCTTTTTTTTTAGAAAAAGACAAGTCTTCCACATTAAAAATAGAAAAACATTACTTGGTGTTTTAACTACTGGGGGGGGGGGGGCGTGTGTTGTTTTGCTTGGGGATTTTTTTGCTTTGCTTTTTTCCTTTTTAGAGCAACTTCTAAATCAGATCCAGTAGCAATTGAAAAACCTGTGTTTCTGTAGAGAAGGAGAGAATATCTTCACTTTAAACGTCCTTACTTGTCAATAGTTGCCTTCACTCTGATCTGGTAGTTCAGCTCTGGCAATTTAATCAGCAACCTTCAAAACAGAAAATGTAAAAGTAGATATTAATAGAATAAATTTCTCAACAGAAGATATTGGAGACCAGTTGCTTCTCACTAAAGTGTCTGTAATAATTAAAATCTGAAAACAGATCAGCATATAGTATTATATCATGATTTACAGAGTTGTACACTCAGTAAGAGGAGCTGGGCTGTTCCAGTGGCAGGTGTTCTACCCTCCCTGCAAGTATGTGGGAAAGTTAGTATGTGTTTGAGGGAATGGCTAGAGAGAGACAACAAAGAAGTAACAATTAAGGGATGGATTTATCTGACTGCACTGTAGATGTACAAGTATTTTCCTTCACGTACCCTTTCCACACCACCCAACCATCCTTACATTCTTGCTGTGAGGTGGAAATGAGAGTTCTCCAGCCTTCAGTCTTTTCACAAAGTCGGGCAAGGAGATAGTGGGGGTGAATCAAGTTGTCATTGATTTTCCTGAGCTCCCCAAAATGCAGAAATTTCTCTGATGTTGGCTTGTATGATATTTATTGTTATTTACTGAGTTTGCAAAGTCATTAAAACAAGATTTCAGTGCCTACACAACCCTGAAGTTGCTGACTTTTGGCCACAATCTGCCTTCCTTCCTCACTGATTTACTCTTTATTGCCACTTATTACGAGTGACAGGTCCTGTGGCTTTTATATCCCCATTCCAGAAAATCTCCATGGAGTCAAAAGGGTCTCTGACACAAGTTGGTCTGCTTTTCTTTCTAGATTCAACTAGCATAAAATGCAGTATGCAAATGAAGGAATTTATATCAGATTTCCCTTCCTTACCTCAATTTAACCGTGAACTGTATTAATGTTTTAAGAACCATTGGCCTCTGGGGATGTGTTGGCATGCAGGGCTGCCTTTCAACCACGAATGAACTGTGTGAAAAGAAGTGAAACAACAGATTGTGAGGAATATGCATAAACATGGAGCTGTATTAGGCAGGGTGGGGTGGGGAGGGAAGTGCTTGTATATCTTACAGATGTGAACTGGGAGGTATGTATTCTAACTCTCAGCTCTCAAAATGATCCAGTGGTCTAACTTAGAGTTGACTTGTTCCATACATCAAAAAATAACCCCCCAAACTAACAATTCCATAGTCCTAAAGTACCAGGCTGATAAATATCTGGAAGACCAAGACTTTTAACAGAACCATAAAGCAGAGCATGAAAATACAGAGCCTGGCTCCAATGGAATTAACAATCATTTTCTCTTTTTTTCATTTTTTATAAAGAAAAGTTGACCATGTTTTGCTTTCAGATAGTAATTTGTGGTGTATCTCCAGTATAGCCAGTAAAAAAGGTGAGAGGGATGATGATAATTTACCTATTCGTAGAAGGGTGAATTGGGTGGGGAAGAATGTCTTGGTGGGGAAGAGGAAAGACAAGAAACAAATTGGCACCTGCCACTTTGAAAAACCACAGCCAACCACCACAATTTTTCTCAGCATTATGTACATAACTCATACTGAAATAAGTGGATTTTGTGTGTTCACTTAGAGGCAGAACTTGATCACAAACCTTTAACTGCTGAACATGCGAAGCTGCCTGGCACCTTCAGCTCCTAGGATTTTTGATGATGGTTGTACATACTTTTTATATTGGAAACTTGGTCTGCAAGATCCTCAGGGACTCAAACTTGTTTCATTTTTTTCCTTCTTAACAATATGGTCTCACTGTTGCCAATAAATCTAAGTCAAGTCAAATAAACTTATGTACATTGACAATAGCTTACGTACTTCCGGAAGAGATTGTACAGCAGAAAGTTGACTTTTTCCAGCAGCTGAGGTCTTTGCAGTGGGATTGGGTCCCCATCGTAAGTCAGTCTGGTCAGCAGTTCATCCAGTTTTTCTAGCTGCCTTCTGACTTGAAAGAGACTCTCTGCCAACAGCGTGAAACTACAGCAAGACAAAGGATTAGTTTGCAATCTTCCATGTAAACCATTTCTTAGAACATAGTGGCCACTGAAGTTCTTGCTTGGGGAAATCAGAATCAGTGCTGACTGGTGCTTTCTAGCTTTATCCAAACTCATGTCTGTTCATCTTTTATTCACAGGAGTGTATGAATAATTCAGGCAAAGTAACTACTTCATTCCAAAAGGAAATATTTATGTAAAGGGTGTCATCAACAGCAATGCTATGCTGTGTATCCAGAAGAAATCTATACATGCTGCTGATGTTTTACATGCTGGGAAACTGTGCCAATGTAATGGCTTCCTATTGCTCAGTAGTTTTGCAAAATGCAATCTTATTTAAAAGGATAATATTTATATAATATGCGCAAGTTACCAAGACTGAGGAAATGTAAAAACAGTAAGGAAAATCAAATGCAAGCACACTTGCTAACAGTTTAATGGGTATGTGTGTATAAAATCAAATTTTAAAATCTATTTTTAACATCTTAATTGGAACAAAAAAAAACCTTCAGTGGAAAAACAAAAAAAAGGAGGCAAAAATTACTTTTTTCTTTTCCCCAACCTAAAAAGGTTTTTGGTTGTTTTCCTTCTTTTCTTTTTACCTCACCTTTGCCAGGAGAGAATTTTGATGGGAACGAAATGTTTAGGACACTGACATTCCCTGGCTGCATTATCTTTTTAAACATGCTGTTTTCTTTTGATTTGCAATCAAAAGTGCAAGTTGCCACAGAGACTAATGCCATTCAATTCCTGCATAGCTTGAAGTCTGGAGGAGTGATGTACCTAGTGAGTCAAAGCACAAAGTGTCTACCCGGCTCCTGCCTAGACAAAGCTCCCACTGTCCTCAGTGATAAACTCAGTCAGCACAGTTCTTACTCAAGCAAAACCCCCAAGAGGGCATGTATCACTTATCTGGAACAACTATCAAGCCAAAAAATTAGTGATAGCCGCGGCTCAGGCTCAGCAGTTCACTAATATTATTAATTCTGGATAGCAAATACTGTCCATCAAAGCAAAATGTATTTTTAGCTATTTACTTTCTTAGCTACTCATGAATTTGCTGCTGTTGCAGCTGATCTAAAGGAATGATCATTTCACGTGCAGCAGGCTTCCTGTGGTTTTCAGTGGAAACAAAAGCTCAAGGCAAGTTTACCAGTTCTGGAGCTGATCAAGCCCGCCATGGAGAGGACCCCCAATACAAGCAATCTGCTGCCGTCTCTTCCAGTCCAGCAGCTCTTCAGTCAGCATGTTGCTCATAAGCATATCGATTTCATGAATCACACGCCCTATTTTACTGAGTACTTCCTGTAAAATAGGACAGGTGTCACTAACTGACCACAGGGAGCAGCCACAAAATTCAGCAAGTATCATAAATGCTGATTGCATTTGTTTTCAATTATTTTGGAAGTAACTGTATTTGGTCTCTCACACTTCAATCTGTAACTCAGAGGTGACTGGATTCATCACTCATCGTAACTGAAATAAATCTTGAATCTTCATGAACTCTTCCTCAGTAAACCGTCTTTTCTGGGGGGTGGGAGGGAGGATTGTTGCATTCTTTGTGGGCATAACACCTCCAAAAAGCTGACACTTACTAGCACTTTCAAGGTCAAAAAGTTCTCCTTTTGATTTGCATCACATCCAGTGCATTGGGATTTTTTTGCTTGCTTGCTTTTAACCGTAAAAAGTACGTGGACTTGAACAAATTGCCTAAATGTACAGTTTTCCATGCCAGCAAAGAAGTAGTCAGGGGAATGTCATATTTGCAAGTCTCAGTTGCTGAACAGAGCAAATACCATTGGTGGGTTGTTGTTTTTCTGTTTGTTTTTCTTGGCAATTATTAGATTACATTTACTTCGAATGTATTTTATTTACTTTAAAAGCTATGGATTGCCAGTTAAGTTATCCATTTTGTACAGCATGTACGAGATGCCCTTACCTTACTTCTAAGGTATGTAGAACCATATCCTTGATAGAGCTCTTACTAAATTGCCAGTTTCTTAACTGCTAGGTAAAATCACCCATACCCACCCAAACTTTATGTGGATTTTTAACTCCTCTGTTATTTGTTGTTCTGAGAGGAGAATCTAAAAAGGCACATGTACACATTTGAGTATTTGGCGTGGGAATAAGGGGAGAAAGCAAAGTGACCACAGAACACGTCACAAACCTTTCTCTTGTAGTCTAAAGTATTGAGCATCGCCTGCAACGCCAACATTTCCTGTTTAATGAGGGCGCTGTTTTTGTCGCTCTGCTCTGCAGGGGATGAAAAAAAAAGCAGTATAAATGCATGTGTGGCTGCGTGTGAGTGTTTATAAGGAAAGGAGGGAAAGAAACCACGACCAGAGTGCAGCATGAGCTGGTGAAAAAATAAACTGCAGACATCAATAGGTTATGTAATAGCATATTTCATTTGAACGGACTAACCTTAGTATAAGTTTAATTTAGGTTTTATGAGTCCACACTTTAGGTGTGTATGTGGAACAGGAAAAGCTAGAGAACATACAGATGATACCTAGAAATCTATAAATGTTTTATGTGCATCTGCATGTGTATTATGTACATCTGTCTTGGATCGGTGATGGGTCTGTACTCTACTGAAACATGCCTATGGTGTCAGCAGTCAGAATAAAGCTCTTTGGACTTGATGTGAATTATGTGTCTGGCTGAGAGAATGGCAGTTAGGCATTTGAAATGGAGATAGTGTTAAACACCATGGGGATTTCAGCAGCCAGGAGCACCGATCTCACTGGGTATTTCTCTCTCTCTTTCCCTTCCCTGGATCATGCATTAGTTTCAAGCTTCCCCAGGATGGCCCCATGCTCTTCATATGCAGGTCTTCCCCCACCCTCACCTTCCCCCACCCTTTGCTGCTCTGCATCTTTCATGCCACCTTCAAAAAAGAAATGGGTGCCAACTGTGCCTCTGCTAAGCTCTGGACTGACATCTTCCTATTATATTAGAGTAGATGCTTCAATAGAGGCAGACAGGAAAGTGATTGTCAGCTCAGCCACAGCAATTTCTCGCTCGCATTGTAAGGTACTACAAGCTGGCTGTGCTGGTGTAGAGCATTTGTTGACACAGTGAAATTTTAAGCCCTGAAAGTCATTTATGTAAGCATGTTTCATTTTGAAAGTGGGACAGGCTTCAATTATCTGTGGTAAATAATTATCATTGGCCTGATGACTAACAACTCATTAAACCGTATCAACTTGATCTCTTCTGATTGTCTGGCCACATCAGGCCTTAATCATAAAGGACTGACACATTTAAGAACTCAGACATTTCAAGCCCAATATCTTTGCATGGTAAAAAGGAGATAATATGAAGATATCTGAGCAGACACAGGTGGACCTCAGTTTCTTTTCTGAAAGAGATCATGCAAGGACTGTTGCCATATGCAGATCTCAACCATCACAGGCTGATCAAACATGCATTGAGTGCTTACCAGCTGGTTATCACCACTGTAGTCAAAAAAAGAATAAAAACCCAAGTTAGAGGCTCAAACTCGCCTTTAGAGGCTAAAAAAATCAGTTTTGCACAACTCTACTAAGGAAAAGAAGAGGCTTTTCTGCATCCAAGGAAGTGCCTTATCGAAAGTGAGGAAAATGGAAAAGTTCTTTAAATTAAGGAAAGTACTACTGTTCATGCCGTTATGCATCTTATCTATGGAAAATATTTATACTTATTTGACAAGATCTTCTTTACCTTGCTAACCCCAAAAAGTTATTATGTTCCAAGACTTTATAAACACCAAAAAATCCATTTTTATGTTTACATACATTATCTGAGTAACTGTGCTGGTTTTGGCTGGGGTAGGGTTAATTTTCTTTGTGGTAGCTGGAATGGGGCTGTGTTTTGGGTTTGTGCTGGAAGCAGTGTGGATAACACAGGGATGTTTTAGTTATTGCTGAGCAGAGCTTACACAGAGCTCCTCACCCCACCCCAGCAGCGAGCAGGATGAGGGGCATAAGGATCTGGGAGGGGACACAGGCAGCACATCTGACCCCAACTGACCAAAGGGATATTCCAGAGCATATGAGGTCATGCTCAGCATATAGGACTGTGGGAAGAAGGAAGGGGGTGATGCTCGGACTGATGGCATTTGTTTTCCCAAGTAACCATTACACATAGAATCACAGAATAGTTAGGGTTGGAAAGGACCTTAAGATCATCTAGTTCCAACACCCCTGCCATGGGCGGGGACACCTCACACTAAACCATCTCACCCAAGGCTTCGTCCAGCCTGGCCTTGAACACTGCCAGGGATGGAGCATTCACAACTATGATGGAGCCCTGTTTACCTGGGGATGGCTGAACACCTTCCTGACCATGGGAAGTGGGGAATGAATTCCCTGTTGTGCTTTGCTTGTGAGCATGGCTCTTGTTTTACATATTAAACTGTCTTTATCTCAACCCATGAGTTTTCTCACTTTTACTCTTCTAATTCTATTCCCCATACTAAAGGGTGGGGAAGTGGGGAGGGGGGAGGAGTAAGTAAGTAGCATTGTGGTGCTTACTTGCTGGCTGTTGATAAACCATAATAGTAATGCACAAAAACTCCCTGATACTGGAGTCCAGCTGCAGAATCAGCCGTTTCATAGACAATCTAAAAGTTATTACAAAACCTCTTACCTAAGCTTTGTATTGTTTTATACCTGAAGTCAAATTCCTCTTGCAAGTCTTCCAAGTATTTGACATCTTGGTCAGTCATCTTTCCCAGGGAAAAGAAAGTAAAGTTACTTGGGTTTTCACAGGGACATAACAAGGAATTTGTTTAGTAATGGGAAAATGCATATGTAGTATTTTTCCTTTCCTACCATTTCAAAATCCCTAATCAGTTCTGGGAACTCTTGTTTACTATCTTGTAAACTTCTAAGAAGCTGATTGAATTAGAAATGCACATTTATAAACACAGATTCATTTTACTTGTTCAGAAAGCCAACTATTATTCTCTTGCCCTCAAACAGTAGTTGATACAGCTTAACCACTTGTTTACTAGTTCAGTGACACAGTGAAAGTAGGAACGATTCCATTTAGCCTGGGCTAAATTAAAGTTATTATGCCAATAACCTAACACTCCTCTTGGAGCTTTAAAATGGGGCACATGGATTATTTTGCATTGACTTCAATGGAACTGGAATGGGGTGTGCAAAGCCAAGTAAGATGGAGGCAGAAACAGCAGCAGAGCTCAGAAACTTCATTTGGAGAATTACTTAGGAATTTGGGTAAAGAACTGAAACATTTTTGCTGCTTTGACTTTTTGTAAGGGTTTGTTTTCATATGTACTGCAAAAAGTTTAGGAGGTGTTTTCTAGTAACCAAACAATGATAATTCAAAAAAAGACACATCAAAACAAGAAAAACTGTAGGCAATCATCTATTTTACTTTGAAGGTCTTTTCTATGCTGTTTATAGGAAGCCTTGTTTCTGCCAACAACTCATAAAAAACACTTCTTAGTTCTCCAAGATGTGCAAGTGCCTGTCAAAATACAAACACTTGTTTGCTAAATTAGGACACACAGAATTAGCCATTCTGGTTTCTTCTTTATTTTGGATACTAAACTTTCAAATTATATGTGTAAAGCATGAAATTATATACACAAGGAACTGGCTGATTTCTGTGTTCAACTTAATTACCTACTAAAAAAACCTCATTTTCACTGGTCTTCAGGGCTGGCTGCGCATCCCCATGCAGGCAGAAGGAGCAGCATGGTAGCCTGCTGTGTTGCAGCTTTGCTTTTGCTCTGCAACTCTTTTACCTTAAAACATATATAGAGATCTCGTATCACATTCTTCTAAAACTAGCTTTATCCTTATAAGGGTTCAATTTCTCTAACACTTCTTCCCCATGTAGGGGGGACACTGATGAGAAAATGCTACTAGGACCTCTTTCCGATATACAAGAAGTGTCGCTCTTGAATGGTAGAGACACAGGCATGTCAAATGTAACTTCTACATGAAGACTGCAGAGCTGAAAGTGGGGCTGTAGTAGTAAAGAGACTGTAGGTAATATGAATCCTTACCCTGCCTTGAACTGAACAGGCATGTATTCTCTGACTGAACTTTCAAGGTCTTTATGGGACATCGCCACAGGTTTGGCTCAGCCCAGCTCTGCCCTGCAATGGTATGGGAAACTCCTGGAGAGCTGTTAACCATCAGCTCCCAGTGCTCTCCCCTCATGTCTCCTAAACACATAATTATGCCATGTAGCCTTCAGCTTTACAAAGTCCTTGGTATGTGACTCACAGGTCACAAAGGCTAGCTAGTGCTAGCAAAGAGGTGAAGTTGCAGAGATACATTTACTGAACCTCATGTCTTTTTTGAGACAGTAGGTATGGTCTTATTGAACTCAGTGGTCTGCCTGCAACTCACATAGAGATGAGTGGGATAGCTTTAAAATAGGTTGGACCCAGAGCAGCTGTAAAAACTTGGGGATCTAGGTATGTCCTGAGTAGTCAGTCTGGGCTGAGGTCCTCAGAATAACTGAAAATGGTTGGTGCAGCTTGCTAGCAAAAGCATTTGAGCTTTCGGTAGTTCAAGTATGTGTGAAAGTTAGTTCAGCTTAAAGGTAGTTCAAGTATGTCTGTGTGAAAATCATGGCTGTGTAAACAGCGAACAGGACAAATACAATACCTGAGCGCTGTTCTTGATGGCTGAAACTTTGTGTTCTACATTTCTTTGTCGTTCTGAAACCACAGAGTTCTGCAGAGACTTTTCCAGCGGCCCCTGGAACACATTGAACCAGATAACGGGTGGATGAGTAATACTAACAAGTGACAGTAACTGTACTGCAAATCCTAGCATAGAGAGGGAATTCAAAAGCTCATCTTCAACCAGCTGGAGAGTGGTGTAAACAGGCAAATCTGTTTAGTTCCACAGATCTGAAGAACATGCTGCTTTAACTTTTGAAATCCAAAAGGTGAAAGGGTGTGGGTATACTGGAAACATTAAATATCTAGTCAATTAAAGAAACTGAAACATAAATGATTAGATTTCTTAAAAAGACCTGATACTCATATAAGAATACTTATTACACCCACAGGTGATTAAAAAGAATACATATGACTAAAAAATTCTATCTGTTTTTCAATCATGTAACAATTTCCCCAGATGGCTTTATGTTGTTTGAAGAAAAAACTTTAAAATTTCATATAAAACCTATCAATGCCTTTGCAACATCAGATAGAATGTCTTTTACATTGCATAATTAATCTGAACTCATGCACTGCATAATTTAAAATATACACATATTTTGTGAAGAATAATCTCTTTAAAGCCTTTACCACAGATTAGACTCTTTGAAGATAAACTGTGACATAGAAGTCACTTACAGCAATGCTTGCAGCAGTAGAGCCACTAATGAAGTATAAATATGAGTTTAAAGGGCAACCTTTGGCAACCGCTAGCACACACAAATCACTCAAGTGAAATGAAAGGACAGGATTTGGTCCCAAAAGCATGTGAGCAGATTAACATGGAGCAGATTAGTGAAATGTAATTCATTACCTGTACTGGCATGCTAGCTGCAGCCAATATTCTTCTTTCTTCTCTTAAACAGTTTGAGATGATCACTGCTATATGCATGGGATTGCCATGATATTTGCCCTGCAAGCACAAGTAAATACAACTTTTTAAAATTCAGAATTCAAGGTGTCACTCTGAAATCACAATGTGCTTCAGTGTCTATGAACTATGGTTTGGTTCGGATGGAAAAGACTCTCCTACTGTTCTTGACCTTTGTTAGTGCTGGTTCAGCCTTGCAGTGCAGCACTAGTTAGTACTGTTGCCATAAAACATTCTTAATAATGTTCTACAGAGATTATAAAGATACAACTCCAATGTACATTATCTGAAGATCAAATTGCTGTACTGCTAACACAGCTGTTTTGAAAGGGCTTTCCTGTCAGCCTATTCTGTGCATGATTCTATCATGTCTTCCATTGTCAATAGGATGCTGCTGTTGGCAGGTAGCACTTCTGCCAACAAAAAATGATAAGCATATCAATACGGTAATGATGCAAGCAGAAATGCTTCGTCAGCATAAAGCAGAAGACTTCAATTTTAATGTCTATGGACAATTTAGCCTGAGAACCAAAAAAAGGTCTATACTTTTACACCACCATAAAATAAGGTGTAGAATTGCTGATGCAGTGCGTACAATTTGAACTGATACTGGTTTGTGCTGTATTTATCAAATTGGAATGATTGAGGACTCTCAAGCAGGCTCTTGCATGGTGATGTATTCTTATAGTATTTCTCAATATTCTTTATGCCTTTTATTCAGTATTCACGTATTCATTCAGATGCCCTTTATTCAGTGCTCATACAGTTTTTAGCCATTCATTGAATTAATCTTTTCCAGTTTTGGACTTGTTCTATTTTCTTCTCTTTCTGATTAGTTTTTATTCTCATAGTTTGCTTCCACTCAGAACTTGATTTATTTTTGCTTTCTATAAATGTGACAGAATAAGTTTACATGTACTTATATTGATGCCATATTTTCCTTTGATATCTCACACCAGTTGTTGCATTAGAAACAAGTGTATGAACACATCTGATTGATAGAAATGCGAACACACTGCTTCTATATGCCAACTACTATGATGACAGTGAACATGAATTTCTAACACTTTTTACTAGACAAACAGAACTGAATCTTTTCCTGGATGCTTTTTTCTGATATCTAAATAATCTGAAAGGCTTTTTCATAATATGTTTTGACTTCAATTATGAGGTAAGGAAATATTATATTAAAAATGGTAATTTTAATCATGGAGACTTGGTTTGAGCTGCATAGTGTTAAATACCATGCTGTTGGTTATACCATGGTTCCAGGTAGAGACTAAGGTGAAAGCCATAGGACTTTTAAAACTAAATAATTAGTGTGCGAAATGTTCGCTTGTAAAGAAGCTGTGACTGCTGTGGAATTGTTGGCAATGAAACTTAGCTCTTTAATGTTCCTAGGTTTTCTGAAGTTTTCTCAAGACAAAGTACATGCCCCACAGTGCAACCACAGCTGTGCCTCCTTTGATCTCTTTAAAAGCAATTCAGGGTGGTGTATTACTCCACCAATCGTCTGTTTCAGTTACCCTGAGGACAGCAGTGATGGACTAGACTGTGATTTTAGGACTTTCTCTGGAAAAAAAAAAGTGGTGAGTAATAAATACTACACCAAGACAGGCAGCCTCAGATGAAACACTAAGCATGCTCTTGCTGGCCAGTGAGGGGGGACTTTAACGTTAAGGATACACTGCTGATTTCCATGTCATACAACAATGCCAAAGATCTGCTGTTGCTCCCTGCCAGCCTCTTGGCTATAGGGGTAGTAATTATGTTCCCACTGCACACCTCCTTCAGCACAACTGAACTTCAGGTCCAGGAATATATCCGTAGCCTGCTTTGTTTATGTCAGGATGTAACTTTGGGAAGGGAATACAGGAAAATGGGAGATGGCTATGCTTTTCCTGCAAAAGATTAAGAGCAGAGTGGAGTTTCATGCAGAAGTAAGGCAAAGGTAAGGTCCAACAGCAACAGCCAGAGAAAAGTAACTGCTGCAAAGAACGGTTATGCTCCTGGCTGTGCAGTGCCAGCCTTGTTTCATGCAAGTCGGGTGCCCGTCTGGTTCCTTAGCAAGCCAACCTATATTGCTAAATGGGATGGAAACCACTCGTGCTTTTTTTTGCTGAATGGGTTTTCTGCTCCTCAGCGAGCAAAGGATGAGGTGGCTGTCAAGGACTAGCACATGTGGAGTTAGCAGAGGTTTGCGGGGAGAGGGGAGAACAGGCCTGCCTTGTTTCTGTAGTCAGTTGTATCGCTAAGCCTGTCTCATCTGCACCTTGATGACGGAAAAAAAGTCACCTTTTTAGTGAGGCTTGGGACGAAAGCTGTGGTGAGACATCTGGTGTAAATCCATGGATGTGCGTATTAATTCTTCAGTTAATGTCTGCTCGTTTCTGCTTGTTTGCTGGTAGAACAGGGTCTCACCTTCCACACAGATGGCTACTATATGAGGACTATACCTCACACTGGTACCTGTAGGCTATCTGAAGCTACAAAGCTTGAGAAGTGTTAAATCCTGGCTTACCACTGCCCAACAGAATTCAAGCCCTCAAAGGACTGATGGTTGCTTTTTGTTTTTACCCTGTGACAAAAAGGAGTCAAACGACAGCTATTTACCAAAAGCCAAGAAGAAATACAAATTCTCTCTTGGAGCTGGAAAATGTGTTTATGTAGAAAAGGCACTTAAGTAAAATCTTCTAACAGTGGGATGTTTTAAAATCCCCCACAAAAAATGCCAGGTATGCGGGACTTTCCTAGCATTTCTAGATACTGTTCATATGCAAAAACTCTCTCTCTTTTTTGCTTTGTTTCACTAAGAGAAAACCATCTGAACCCAGAGATGAAGTGAATATTCACTTGTTTTTTTCCTATTTCTCCTCTAACTTGTAAAGCTCTAATAACAAGTTGTGCCCATAGTGATTCCCATACTTGTGCCTGTCCAGTGCTTGTTCAGCATGGTTCAGTTTGAGCAGATACCAAGCAGGTCAACAGAGAACTGCCACCTGCTCTCCTGAAGCAGAAGTCTCTCAGACTAGAATAATGGTGGATCTTATCAATAGCTTCATTTGCAGTAATCTAGCAGTTGGATTGCAACTCCATTATAAAAATTGATAAATAATAAATTGTAATGTTAAATATCTCAATAGTTGTAACTTCTTAAATAACAATAATTACTAAAAGTCGCAATAACTGATGTTTTAGACTGTCAAAAGAATAATACTGAATATCTTCCCCCCCATGTTTTATACTTCTCAAAGGTAATTACACTTCAGAACATGCCACTTTGTATTCCTTTATCTATCTTCTGCCAACTGCTGCTCTTCTGCACTTCCATTTTGTCTTTGATGGAGAGCAGAATTTGTTCAAGATGACCTTCACTTTTGCATTACTAATTGAAAATTATTTCCTGTCATTGAAAGAGAGTATAATTTGGAATGTAAAGGAAATTTAACAACAAAAAACCTTGGGATGGAGGAATCCTAACTTAATGTGACATGAGCATTGACAGCCAGGAAAGGAGGGAAGGGTGAGAATTCTGTAGTTATGCAAAATTGTATTAATAAGCTTACATATTTAGAAAGAAAACTTATAACTGTTTTGATAAACACCAATAAAGAGAAATTGAGGATTCACTTTTCATCTCATGTTTCAATTGGAAACATCAGTCTTATCTGCTAACAAACATTACTGTAATTCTGTGGTTCTTAGAAATTTTCTTTTTCCTCCCTTCAGTTTTGATGAGGTCTTTCATACCAGGATTCACAACAAACAACAATGCTGTTATTTTGGGCTTGCTTCTTCTCAATAACTGCCAGCAAGATGCTGAATTCAAGCAACCGAGGAGGTTAAACTTTCATTCTGAGCAGCTGAAGATTTTCTCTGAATGCTGATGACATTTCCTTGGGAGAAAACCTCCCTATCACCATGCAACATGCACTCTCTCTACCCCAGAGACATCTGCTGTGGTAGTATCTTACTAGATTGTGAAGAACAACAAAGAGGCATTTCTGCAAAAAACGTGTACATTTTAATGTGCCCAATTTAGACCCTTTAGCCAAATTTTAAAGCAGCTTGAACTATTTGGAATATGTTAAGATGCTTTAATGTAGAAGTATGTGCTGTGCAACTGTTAGAAAGTCAGTCAGGGGTTTACCTGGTTATCCCCTGCTTTTCAAGATGCCCTAAAAAGAACTTGAGTAGGTTTTAGTGCTTTCTAATTCTGAAAAAGCTCTTCAGAATTTGGTTATTTTTCCCCTGATTTTCTCTTTATTCACTCCTTCCCCTTTTTTAAGTTGTGAAAAACATCAGCTGTATTTTTTTCTTGTTTCTGATAGAAAAACCCTGCTTGAGCCTTTTAATTGAGCTTTACCTGGAGGCATGGAATTGTTAACTAGTATGACCGTTGATGTATTTTTGTTGAACAAGTATTTAAAGCAGCTGACAGAAGGGAGATGGGGCACAGAGAGGTAGGAAACAGAATTACAATGTCAAGCAAAACTACATGTCCATCCCTGTTGCTCAGTTCTAATATGCTTATTATTTTACTAAGTCTGATACTCTGCATCTTTCTAGATAAGCAGATATTTCATCTTTCATGTAATTAAAAAAAAAGGGGAGGAGAGGAAAAAAAACCCTTTTATCTACGATTTTATTTTTGAAAGAAAAAAGACTTTGCTATAGTTGGGTATCTCAAGGAAAATTGTGGGTGATAAGACATAACCGTCCACCATCCACACTTATTTCTCATGTTCACCATCAAATATGACAAACAACATTTTGCCTTGATTTGTTTTCTACCTTTGTTTATGCATCCAGGCAGAAAGTCCAACGAAGACAGTACTAAAATACAAAGAGTCTGTCCTTGTGTTACCCTGATATAGGTAAAGTGCTTGGGAGTTTTTTGAAAACCTGCATTCAAACGGGATTAAATACTAAAAAAATCTTTATTAAGAGATTTAATTAAGATTTATTAAGAGTAATACTCTTACTAAAATATCTTTTTCTACTAGGAAGATGGCTCTGTTTTATCTAGGTCTTTGAGAGGA